AGAATTAAAAAAACCCACAACAAACAGATATTAAAATTCAGAAATCAACTTCTGAATGAAAATTATTACCATATAGTAATTCATAACTGATCCCCCATCATTAATTAAGGAGAATTGATAATCTTAATGGGATTTGAAAGTAAATAGTATATTGTAATTTTTAACCTTTTATTATCCAATTTTTCAATTTTTTTCACTTTGGTTTGTGTTTAGAATCAGAGTGATATACATAAGGAACAACTCATAGCAAATATATTCATACCTGTGTTTCGTGTTTCAGCCACAAGGCTGATTTGTGTCCTATTGGTTGAACTAATAAGTACTAATGTATTCTATAGGTAAATCTATTGATTCAAAGGCACTTGGAAATATTGGTTTCTCAATTAATAAATGGCTGTGCACAGCAGCTTGATTTGAATTAGGCTGCAAAATTAAAATGATCCTCAATAATCAGGACTTTTTGTATTTTTAAGAATTCTTTTCTCAGTCTTGAATTTAATATTAATTTTTGTGTCCTTGATTGTTAAGCTTTGTTTTCAAGTGCCAAACATAGTGAGGCTGTTAAGAAATATCACTTAACTTTCAAATTGTCTTGTCTGTTTTGTCCTCATTGACATTTTACTCTCCTTTTGTAGATTAAATCTAAGATGTAAAAGGGTATTAAAATAATATTTTTTTTCATTATTCTATCAAAGCACGCATTATTTTTGAGAAAATAAAAAAGGCTAATTCATTGCTGTTGTTATGTGATACAGCACACCAGTTCCATATATGCCGAAGAGCAAAGAGGGTATCTTGTTTGTCAAAAGCTAAATAAATATTCAAATCAGATCAAGGTTCAGAGAAGTTGGTAGCAGACACAAATGTCTATTGATGCTGGAGCCTTCATCTCTTTCTGTTCATATTTTCCATCATAGCTGTCCTGAATCCATACCAAAGTCATACCCACTTTACATTCTGTTCACTGCCTTTTTTTCCACAACTTCATGAAAATCCCTGAAGCAGCATGGTTCACATTAAGAGGAAATTCCACAAATGAAACATGAGAAATGAATCTGCTTTGGAGGTAGAAGTTCTAGAATATACAGAGATGAGAATTCATTGCAACTGCAACATTTTATTGCAAGGGTAAGCAAAGTGAGGATAAGAAGTTACAAAAAAAAATATATTGGATATGCAAAGTTCAGTAGTAATATAATTTCATAATAGATAATGAAAAAAATAATTATTTAGCTACTTCAGAGAAAAAGAGAAGATAAAAGGGAAGGTAAGAGCTCTAATTATCAGAAAGTAAATACACTAGAGGGGAGGAAAAGTGGAATTTCTAAGTACTTGCTCTGCTTCAGTTCACTCAAAACAACTCTTCTGTGAAATGATTAATTATGCTGGGAGTAGATGAACAACATAAGAGAAGAGACATCAACACCGTAAAGAGCAAGTGAGAAATTACCTGGACTGAATTAATGTTTTGAATCAGCAAGGCCAGATTAAATCCATCAGAGAGTACTAAAGGAATTAGCCAATGAGGTTTCATAGTCCATGGCAAATGATTTTACAGAACTCCAAGGAGATCCTAGGGTTGCAGATTAGAAGCCTGACATCCATTATAGGAAACATACCAGCTAAAAAGAGATGTAACATGAATAAAAGTATTATTAGTGCTAGAATGATGTTAAGGCACAGAGCAAAACAAATGTTAGCGTTTAAAAAGGACTTATATATTAGACAGAAGTGTCGTATATATGATATCTTTTGCCAAATAAGCATATTTACTACACTAATTCAAGGTATTGTAAGGTACAACCTGTAGAAAAGAAAAATCTAGGTTACCATAGCTCACTGAAACCAGATAGCATCTACACCAAATATTACCGAAACATTTCAGAAAGCAGAAAACCAAAGATGATTGCTCAATAAGGACTCTACGAACTTCATAGTTCTAGTAATCCTTAATAAACCCACACTTAATCCCCAGTCCATTAACTGTTGGCCTAGCTTAAATCCCTCTTTCCTCATAATTGATACTTCTTAACTTGTAAGATTCACATCTCAAAATCAGAAGTCAAAGTAGAAAACTAGTATGACTTATAACTTTTAAGTTTATACTGCTGGGCTCATCTACAGCCTCTTGAACATTAGATACAGATAAATCACCCATAAAGCAAAAAAGTAGATACTAAGTCACTCTCCTGAACAGAAGTCAGTTAATGGTGACAGATAAATGTTGCCATCTACAAAAAGTTTTCACCTCCAGTGTTCCCCCAGATTACCTTCTCTGTTTCTCTTCCAAATCTATCAGTCCACTGATAGCAACATGCCTTGGTCTTTGTTTCCAACATTAGACCAAATGTATAACTTATAGAATCATAGAATCATAGAATCTTAGGGGCTGGAAGGGACCTCGAGAGATCATCTAGTCCAACCCCCCTGCCAGAGCAGGGTCACCTAGAGTACATCACACAGGAACTCATCCAGGTGGGTTTTGAATGTCTCCAGTGAGGGAGACTCCACAACCTCCCTGGGCAGTCTGTTCCAGTGCTCTGTCACTCTTACAGTAAAAAAATTTTTTCGGATATTCACCTTGAACCTCCTATGCTCCAATTTACACCCATTACCCCTTGTCCTATCACTGGTCATCACTGAGAAAAGCCTAACTCCATCTCCCTGACACTCACCCCTTACATATTTGTAAACATTGATGAGGTCACCCCTCAGTCTCCTTTTCTCCAAGCTAAAGAGACCCAGCTCCCTCAGCCTTTCCTCATAAGGGAGATGTTCCACTCCCCTAATCATCTTCGTAGCTCTGCGCTGGACTCTTTCGAGCAGTTCCCTGTCCTTTTTGAACTGAGGGGCCCAGAACTGGACACAATACTCCAGATGTGGCCTCACCAATGCAGAATAGAGGGGAAGGAGAACCTCTCTTGACCTACTAACCACACCCTTTCTAATGCACCCCAGGATGCCATTGGCCTTCTTGGCCACAAGGGCACATTGCTGGCTCAAATCCTTATGAACATGCGGTTACCAAGTTGTCACACTGTTGCTAGTGCTGTTTCATGCACTTTTCTCTTGCTGTTCTGGGAAGCTTTTGAAAATGCAATGAAAACACTGACACTAATCACTAGCAGCTGCTTTTTCCAAGCAGGTGCATACACACATCTTGAAGGATGCATGGACAACAAGTGCTCATTCAGCAAGGTGTATTGAAAGGGTATTCTCAGAGTACAACACGACGAAGCCATCCTACACACCCTAAAATGGCTCACCTGGCATGTGGCATTGCTCCTGCTAGGTTGTCCCATACCTGGGGACCCTCTGCAGGACATGGCTGGGTATGCAGCAGCCTTGTCCCGAGCACCCGGCCTTTCGTGGCTATCAAGCCAGAGATAAACTCCAGTGGCTCTCGTGCTGCACCTGAGAAGAATTTCTGGATCGAGAGGAAGGAGAGGCCATAGCCTGGTAGCCACAGCACTGGCCAGAAGTGCAGACCTATGAACACAGCAGCTCCCATCTCGCACTGGCCCTGTGGCTACACACCTCCTTCTGCCAACCCAGCCTTGAAGCAGCGGTAGCTACAAGCAAGATCAAAAGTCACGACATGTAGCTTGGGGACAGCTGTGCTGTCACCATCAGACCCACTTGCAGCTCCGGGACCACTTTATAAAGAGCTTCACGGCTTTTCCTCACCTTCTGGACTTGGTGAATTACAGGACACACCATGGCAATCGTACCTTCCCAGCATTTTAAAAAACAAGCTGTGAAGGGGCAAAGGCCAGGGCAAGAAAGGGTTTTGAGAGCCTCACGTTTTTGAGTGTTAAAAAATTGCAGCAGTATCCACACGGAATTGATAGAAGACCTGCAAATGAAGGTTTTTCTTCTGATGAACATGCAGCAGCCCTGCAGGCTTCCTTTGAATCTTCTCACCCTGTGCTGGTTTGCCCTCACAGGGCTGTGCTCTGGCAGGAGGGAGCAACAGGGACACTTTCTCTCATCGCCTGGTTCGCTTTCCTCCTCTCTTTCCCGCTGGATGATGGCTCCCTGGTGGTGGCTGCTGTCAAGTGCCTCTGCTTGACTCGTAATCACGACTGACCGGGACAGAGAGGAGCAGCTTGTGCCAGCTCCCGCCTCTCTGGCCCAGCTTCCTGGCCGGCCGCGCGGCCAGCGAGGCAGGGAATGGCCCTGGAGCAGCAGCTGCCATGGCTGCTGTGGCTGACGGCCTGTGAGGCCCCAAAATGCGTCTCATTTTAAGAGGTGAGACGAGAAGAAAAGCGAGATGGGAGGGAATTTATCATAGAATCATTAAGGTTGGAAGGGACCTCAAAGATCATCAAGTTCCAAGTCCCCTGCCATGAGCAGAGACCCCTACCCCTCGACCAGGTCTTACAAAACCTCATCCAACCTGGCCTTAAAAACCTCCAGGGATGGGTCATCAACAACCTCCCTGGGCAACCCATTCCAGTTCTTCACCACTCTCACAGTGAAGAATTTCTTCCTAATATCTAACCTCAATCTCCCCTCTCTCAGTTTAAAACCATCACCCCTTGTCCTATCACTATCTTCTCTGATGAAAAGCCCCTCCCCAGCTCTCCGGTAGCCCCTTCAGGTACTGGAAGGTGCTGTAAGGTCTTCCTGGAGCCTTCTCTTCTCTAGGCTCTCTCAGTCTGTCCTCATAGCAGAAGTGCTCCAGCCCTTTGATCATCTTGGTGGCCCTTCTCTGAACCCTCTCCATGAGCAACATGTCTTTCCTGTGCTGAGGGCACCAGAGCTGTACACAGTATTCCAGGTGGGGTCTCACCAAAGCAGAGCAGAGGGGCAGAATCCCCTCCCTGGCCCTGCTGGCCACACTTCTTTTGAAGCAGCCCAGGATGCAGTTGCTCTCTGGGCTCCAGCACACACTGGTGGCTCATGTTGAGCTTCTCATCAGCTTCCACCCCCAAGACCTTCTCCTCAGGACTGCTTACAATCCATGTGATTTATTAATTTATTTCAATCAATTTTAATCAATCTAAAAACTTGAGTACATATAGCACCTCCAAAAAATAATCTAGTCCCCATTGCCTGTGTTTGTCTGAGAAATCATCGACTTTTTGAAGACACTTAATTTCAAAGTGGTTGCCTGAAAATGAGGAAAGAGGGAACGATTAATCACTGAAAAATGCAAAGTGTCAGGAAAAAAAATTTAAAATGTTATCCACAGATTTCCTCACAGTACTTGATGCAGTGGCACAACTGCACTGGGGGAACCTATCCACCTTTTTTTGGGATGCAACTGTCCATGCCAATGATTCTCTGGGCACAGACACAGCAGGCATCTTAGAAAGCTGTAAACTTAAAAGAAGTGCAATATCAAAGCATATCAGGAGGAACTTTTAAAATTAAATTCCCCCCCTAATTCCAGGTTTCACTAATTTGATGGGATTGTACATTTAGAATTTTCCTTGCACAGCACGTTACTTTTCTTCTTTGGCTACAAAAGTACAGCAGAAACTGTAGAACTGGCATGCAGAGGACTTGTATTAAGACCAGGGTAGCTGGTAATGAGGTGCAGAGAAAGACAAAATGGTCTAACAGGTCTAAGACCGGAGCTACAAGATCGCTGAGTGCAGTATGAATCCTGGGCGAATAAAGAGATGCCCAGGGGAGGAAAGAGACAGTATCCATCTCTTGGGTTTTCCTCTGCCTTCTGAAGAGCTGAGAATTTTCCTTGACAGCAAATTCCCTGTGGCTAAATTTGGCATGTATGGTATTTATTTTAGCCATTATTTTTCCACCACTGTCCCTTAGATAGGAAGAAAATGACTCTCTGTCACTTGACGCAGGGCAAGGTAAAAGCATATAAGCATGCTTATGTGTTTTGGGAAAAAAACCCAAGGTTTAGCTAAAATGTTACTTACCAAACAAGCTTTTTATTTCTGATTCAGGAACATAAAACGGTGGGCCTGAAAGAAAATGGGTGAAGGTCATCAGAGAGAAGACACAGGAAGGAAACAAACATTTACACTGCAGCAGGAGAGCCAGCCCCATCACTCACACAGCACCTGGCCCACAGTCGGGTCCCAGTGTGTCACATCATCTGCAGGAACCAGAAAGTACCACATCCAAGAACTCATGGCACCTTTGTGGGGCACCAAACAGGTACTTCAGGGGTTGCTGCCGCATGACCTCCAGGCTGCAGCTAGGATAGCCACATTGTCAGAAGTCATGAATATGCTGTGGATGCAACCATTCCTGGTGCACTATGTGAATTTGGCCAACAATCTCTTTATGCTACAACAGCATAACTAAAGCTAAAAGCTGAATCATGTGAGAGGGAGACCAATTAATTAAACTATTGTTTCTTAGGAAGACAAGACATTTTTTTCAGGAATAATCACGCTGAAGAGCCCAAAAGCAGCAACAAATCTCTTTGTTTTACAAGTTAATAATTCATTTTAAAAAATCTTTTAAAATACCTCAGATTTTGGTATGCAATGAAAGTTATAAAAGGAAAAAAATACTTCATGATTTTCCAGAATGTATTCTCTTCCAAGCCTCTTCAGGCCATGGTAATGGCTGGGAGAGAGGCACAAGCTGGACAACACATTGGGTTGCAAGTATTGGTTAAACAGAGTAAAGTAAATGTTCTTGGGAGTGCCTCAAGCTCCCTAGGCTAGTGTTCACACTTCCAGCTCCAGTGTCACAGCCACACTTGCATTTCTGTGTTAATACACTGTGTCTGTCCTCCATTTAGCATTAGCATGTCTGAATGCTAGAGGGAAAGCAAATTGAGTTTCCAGCTTGGTCAACGTCTAAAATTTCTAACATATGGTTGTAGTGGTGTGATCAGCTGACAAAACTAAGCTGACAGAATATCCATGGAAGGTATATTAGTAACTACCACATCTACGCACCACTTGTATTAATCAAAACATGAAGAGTACAAAGTTCTCACCTTTGTGTTTGTTTGGATCATATGAAACCGTAACAAGGAGATAAGAAGAATTTTTCTCCATGAGGGTGACCATCAAACTGGCATAACTAAACAAAGAAAGTTACACTTCATTGTTTTGGAACTCTACATACATTCAAGCACAGCATTCAAAGTATTCAACACAAGAGGTGACATACTTCTCTGCAGAGACAATTTGAACCGAACTAAACAGAAACTAAGCAAAGGTTAGTTTGAATTTAATCAGCATGAAATTCAGGCTGCACCTGCAACACCTCAAATCAAGGCTACTGTTTACTCCTCATAAACAAGCATTTTGGGGTGGGTTTTTTTTTGCATATTAACCACAAAACTATCAGACAAAACAGTATTCATCTGCCATGTTCTAGAATGAAGTACACAACACGGTACTGATCTTTTAAAATCATTGTGAGTTCCAGATTATGTATCTAATTTAAAAATCCTGGGGGTACGGTCGAACTACATTTGGGTTGGCTATAGGCAAGAAAAAACCCTGAAAAAAAGGGAAGCGAGGGGAAGAAGAACAAAGAGAGGAAAAGCAGATGGGAGAAGAGGAAATAATAAAATTCAGATGAGACTTGCAGCTCTGCTTCTGTTGGGTTGCAACAAACCACACTTTTTCCCCCCAAGAGGCAGGGTGGCTTCCTGGAGGAAGTTCACAAGTCTAGAGCACAGCACTCTGCAACTGCAGCTGATGCTTGCGGTAGAGAAGAACTTGTGTAGATTACTCCCTTAAATGAAAGAGGACTCATAAACAAGTGGCAGGAGGAAAGATGTGTCACTGCATGTATCAGAGAAAAGACAAAACAAGGGTTACCAACCGTTGTCTGTCACGTGGATTCACAGCTACTAGAGCTCCTCTGTCCCAGACCCCATCAAACTTGCCAACTATCGAGCTAAAGGGAGATGAGGAAAAGGCTTAAAAATAATAAAAGGCATCTTTATTCAGATACTTCTGTGAAGTCACAAAGAATCTCTAACTAGCTGTGCAGATTCCCCACTAGCTTTTTGTTATGGTCTTTTTCATCATCCAAAACAATCTGACTCAGATCCAAAGAACTCCCCTCTTTGTACACAGCCTTGATGCGACAGCAAAGAGATGCTGGAATTGCTCAGCATTTCCCCATCATCAGGGGGTGCTGAGACACGGTGGGGAGGAATGAAAGTAGCTTAAAACATATTTGGGTTACAAGTCTGGGGACTCCCGAGGCAGCAGTAACACACACACACTCAGCACATCAATGATCTCGACCACATTCTGAAGTCCACACACCATTTCCAACACAGGCAAAGGAAGGTGCCTCGTTGTTTTAGTATCATTGCACTCGGCACACCCAGCAATTCCAACACCTCAGTTCCCAGCTGCACGCCCAGGACAGTTAGCTTCAGCTTGCAATTTGTTTAATATTAGAAAAGCTCAGTTACATTGCTGCTTACCCCAGTCTACCACTGCCACAGACATGGATTTTGCTACTGGATATGCTGGCAAATGGATTCAGAGAGCAGCCAAAATCTGCAAATGCCCAGGACTAGTGGAAAGTGCCTTTATAAATGGGTGGTAAGAGCAGTCAGGGTGACGCTAGAGATGGAGATATTTGGGGAGGAAGGAAGAGCCTTGTTTCTGATAATTATTACAACAGGAGTATAGAGAGTTAAGTTAGTAATAACTTACTAATAGAATTGCATAATTTAAAAGAAAGTCTAAAATAGGTTTACTTAGTGAGAAAAACAGAGTTTGGAATTGTGCAATACCTTTCTGCTTACTGAGAGTGCCAGAGTCCAATTGCATTTGGCTGGGGTAGAGTTACATTTCTTCACAGTAGCTTGTCTGGGGCTACGTTTTGGGTTTGTGCTGAAAATAGTGTTGATAACACAGTGATCTTTTAGTTACTGCTAAATGGTGGATTTACTGCATCAATGCCTTTTCTGCTCCTCACACCACCACACCAGTAAGTAGGTTGGGGGTGCACAAAAAAGTGGGGAGGGGACACAGCTGGGACAGCTGACCCAAAGGATATTCCGAACCACATTGACATCATGCTCAGCAATAAAACTGGGGGACGGTTGGCCCTGGGGCAGCTGCTCAGGAACTGGCTGGGCATTGGACAGGTCAGTTGATAGTGGGGCATTGTTTTCATTTGCATCACTAGTTTTTCTTGGGGTTTTTTTCCTCTCATGTTTTGGTTTTTTTTACTTAAAAAATAAAATAATTAATCTGCTTTTATTTCAAACCACAAATTTCTTTCTCACTTTTGCCCTTCTGGTTGTCCCAGCCATCCCACCAGAGGGGGCAGTGGACAGGCGGCTGTGTGGTGCTTAGTCACCAGCTGTGGTTAAACAACAACTCCTCCCTGTCCGCTGTTCGTTTCACTGCAATGCATTGCTAAGTCTCTGGAGAGTAACTTAGAAACTAATTCTGTATTTCCCACTCCACTGTGATGAGACATGATAACACTTAAATCCTGACTTCTTCTAAAGTTTGCCAAGACTAAGCATATAATTTAAATAACTAGCCTCTTGAATAAAAAGAGATTTTAAAAAGAGATGGTTAAACATGCAATTGGCACAAGAAGAACAAAGCAAAGCCTAGTGGGACAGGTGACAAACTTGATCTCCTGAGGCTTGGAGGCTGTGCACCTTTCTGCATACCTGAGTCTGCTGTGTGACCTCTTTAGGCAAGCTCCTGAAGTTTTATGCACCTATTTTTTTCCCCCCAACTTTAATCTGGTCTAACCAGAATGGTGGCAGTGGCCTCATACAGGCATTTAATGTATTCCCTTCCCCACTGATTTCACTAGGGCCTGCAGACATCACAAGCTGCAGGCTGGCTCATGTTGTGGTCTCCCCCCAGTCCTGGTCTCCTGCTTGCCCAGATCTTAGCACCTGCAGAGCGTCTGGATGTTCCTTGCCCATCTGCTCCTCCAGTTTCTTTCTGAGGTGAACCAAGCCACATGGAAAACGTCAAAAAAAGGTACACAGCTGTCTTTCATCCTGATGTGGAGTCAGGTGAGGCTTAGTTGTTAGGAAGTGCTCCTTTTCTGAGGTACATTCAATGTACCTCTGCATCACTGCCCAGTTTTTAAGCCTCACGGTATCTCCTGCTATGTGTTCACATGGTATGTAGCATGACAGAACACAGTCCGGGTGCTACTACAGCTAAAAAAAAGTGACATGTAAGGCAGAAAATCACGTATCTGCAGAAATTCCACTGGATTTAAGCAGTGAAGTTGTGACTTTCTATCTCTGCAGATGTTTAGCAGCTTCGGTTAATGCAATCTTTTTTTTTCAGTCACGCAGCCATACTTGGATGAGGAGCTACAATGGTTGCGAAATGTAACTGTTTTACATACATCTTTACATACGTCCCAGAGTTCCCACGAAGAGCAGTAACTCCTGTTACTCTTTAACTAGCATGAGTCTTTGAAACGTCTCATTCTGGCAAAGGTCAGGAGCACATCTGAGTGCTCCTCTAACGAATGCGAGGCTAATGGAGATCAAAAGGATTTGTTAGCAGGCCAGCCTCAGCAAGACAGAAATAAGTTTCATTTCCATAATTACCGGGCAATTAATCAAATTGTCTGTACACAGAAACCAGAAGAGTGTGTGCACTTTTCTAGTCACAGGTATCTGCTGACTGCTGGAGGGAATGCAGTTCATACTTTCGCCATTACTGCACCCAGTAAGAACCATGCATCCAGAATGTGTATCTGCCTATTTATTTTGTGGTAAACAACCTAGAAACTGTCACTGGACCCATTATTGAAAATGTAATTAATTACCTATTTTTGGTTTATGGGTTAAGGGTTGGACGTGATGATCTTAAAGGTCTTTTACAAAGAAAATTATTCTATGATTATTTCACCATGTTATGATGAAAGTTACAGGTTTAACCACACTACTTGCTACAAAACACCAGATTTTTCAAAAATTGCTGACAAGAAGCTTAAGCAATCCCTGGGCAACTTGTCAACTCACAGAAAGAAGGATTTATAGGGCTCCACACAGCAAGTAGCTACAATGCAGGAGTAAGGTGGGGAAGAAACCAGGCAGTATCTGCAAAGTCACATTCATATGTTCTGAGGCACTCACTTTGCAGCACTAGTTACATATATACTATCCAAACCCACTGGAGTCAGTTGCACCAGCAGAAGTCTAAGCAACAGTCTATTGTCTAAAGCAATTTGGACTTTGGATTCTAGTACTGACTATTTTTTTTTTCCAGTTTATGCAGACTAAAAAAAAAGAAAACAAACAAACAAAGGATCATATAGTAAAAACCATGTTCTGGTGTCCTAAACTATCTCTTATGCCTGTATATACAATTAGCTCTGAAAAGACCATCCAAGTAAAGAGTAAGGCTTGACCTCCTCCTTCTTTTTGAACAGCCATGGAATCCTTGTTCCTGTCAGTTGTTTGTAAGAAAAGCAAACCAACATACAAAAATATACCAACAACCTTATAATCTAGGGAAAATCATGTCTGCTTAAGAACTGCAAGAGGAGGAACTATAGTGCAGGACTCTGGGCACCTTCAGCTTCCAACAAGATACATTACAAAACCAGAAACAACACTGCTTTCTTGCATGCTTTTCACTCTCCAGCACCAGAATAGGTCTGAGGTCATTTTAGGACAGATTTAAATATAACTGCTGCCAACACCCCTAGAAGACTTCTGGGAACAAGTAAATGCACCAGATGCATGACTGTCCAAAGCAGAGACTTCTATGTTAGAGGCTGGAGAGAGTCCTAAGTCCTCCTGTAGCCTCTGAACAACTTGGTAACTTTCAAAATTCCCCCACCAGCTGAGACTGGAGCAGAAGGTCAGGTGCAAAGCCACTGCAAAATCCAAGCAGTAATGCTTGAGGCCACAAAGCACAATGTGTTCAAACATTTTTCAGGAGTCAGTAGTGCAGACTATATTGAAGAATTCTGCATTTTCTGTTGTGTCTTTCAACTAAGAAATAAGGACATTTTAGTACTAAAACTCCTTCAGAAGACATTTGTAAGTCAAGCCATTTTTGTCATCAGGGTTTGACAATATATTACAGTTACATACCCTGGAGTGATGTAATGGACTTGAAGTCCATCATTAAAAGTATATTATAATTAATGGGTACAGCTCACCTATGCATATGTTAACCAATACTTTGGGGAAAAATATATTTAGTACTTAGTTAAAGGAAAAGCTGACTAAGGAGACACCTCTGGGTATGTTCTCTTTACTTTTACTAAGCTACTCTTAAGTAAGGGACTGTGATAGGATTTTACTTCATACAGTCCATAAAAATGTTAACTCATTTTTAGTGTAAAGCAAACATGTTTTTTTTATAATTTTCACAGAATGGTTTAGAACAAGAAGCCCATTTAAAGATATTTAGTTGGCATCTTTATCTAATGGTCAATAACAGGGTTAGTTTTTGCTGGAGATTGGCTATTCACACTTCTCACACAGGTTAATAAGAGTTTTCTTGAGAGGACCTGTTCCAAGTCTTTATGGCTGAATCAAATAAAATAATCTGGCAGTATTATGAAAGTATTAATACATGTTTGATCATAGAGAATTGTAAAACACACCATGTATTCCTACCTGGACAAGCTGTAAATACTGCAGCAGTACAGGGAAATGTTCCCAGAGGCACTCTACAACAAAAAGCAAAGGAAACAACACTTATCAGCAAACTATCATTAAATATGCACTTCTAAGTGTGTAATTATAATTTATATTGTAAAATACATGCATATCCTATCTTTAAATATACATTCAGGTGTCACAGGAAAAATATGTGAGAAACAATTTTAGTTTCAATTTGCTCGGGTAACTCTCCTGATCCCCTCCAGAGGGGTTCTGATCTCTCAAGGCATGCAACTGTCCAATTTTAAAATACATTTACTTTACATGCAGGTGCTTCAATGTCCTAAGAAAAGAAGGCCAAAGTAAATAAGCTCAGAAGAACATCTCAGTCCAAAACTACAACTCAGACCTTCCCTTCAGACCTTTTCAGGAGAAGGGAATGATTACCAGGAAGGCAGATGTATAAAAGCAGAATGACTTGTTTGCTCAGTTATGCCTGCCTGCATTGCACGATTAACCACACCAGATCATTCAACAAAGCAAGGAAAACATGCCTGCCACTTTTTGGCTCCCGAGATCTCTGGGACTGGCTCCTCACGATACTGGAGCCCGTGCTCTGCAAAAAATTCCCTCAGGGCCTGCTCGCTGACCTCCACACCGACGACGCTGTGCCCCATGTCTGCCAGCCTGCACACAGCAGAGAGAGGCGTGTATTCATGAGGGAAACCCTGGGCTTAGGATGCACTGGTTTGGCTAATCCTGACTTTCTGGAATGTTCACATTTCACTGAACAGCTCCCCTCCACCAGCCGAGCTTGAATTAGCACCACCCTGGCATACAGCCGACCAGGACTTACAGGCTTTATTTAGAGGCAGTGGATTATGCCTTTATTTCGATGAACTCGATGGAAACAAGGTGATCACACAGATAAAACCGTCCATTTTTGGTTCACAGAAACGTGCTCTGCCATGAGCTGCAGCAGCTGAGGCGCCCTGGCCACCCAGCTGCCTCTGTGGCTTGGCAGAGGTGAGGTTGGGCTCAGCAGGGTGTGGTAACCTCTTCCCTGCTGCAGCTCAGCACAACAACAGCAACGTGCCTCAGAGCCTTCAAGTCAGCCTGGTAAGTCACCCCCCTGATAAAACCTGGTAACTGGGGCTACCTTGATTCCTTGAGGTTCCAGCTCAGTCAGGGATTTTTGCTTTGTGTTCACACCCTCCAAGAAAAAAACACTGGATTATACAGCCCCTGATCATAAATAGAACCCACCCCCAAAAGTAGAAGTAAAATAAGAAATGTAAAAAAAGAGGATGTTGCGTTTAACCCAAATCATTTAAATTCCCTGTGTGACATGCCACATGGTCCCCTGAAAACATTCTTGGGCACAACTGAACTCACAGAGGGCAATTTCAGATGGCATTGCCACCAAAAGAAGCAGTAGTAAGGGCTTCAGTCACTTTGTCCATTACAAATTCAGCATTCACCAAGTTGGACTCTGGACAATCAGAAGGACTTTGAGGTTAGTCCTTATCCATCCCATTCATGCTACTACACAAAATGCCAGCAAATTAAAACAAACTTCCTCCTGCCTTCAGCCTCCAGTGATATTGCTTTCCTACCAGCAGAAATGCAGCACGTTTCCATTGGCCAGTATAAGGTTGGGTATTTTCCCTCTCCCTCCCTCCCCACATCATATAGGATTTTTTGCTCATATAATCTGTGTTTTACCATTTCATCTCTACTGCTTTGCCACAAAGTGGGAAAAATATCCTCAGTCCAGTCCTGCCATTTAAAAGAACATCCAGATACTTCTGTAGAAGCCTGCAGAAGAACAGACATGTTTTACATGACACTATTTGCACTGGGACATTAAAAGCCAAGTGCTAGACACGGTGCCAGGCAGCACACAAACTCCATGATGGAACACACATTCTTAGTTCAACCTGCTTCATACCATTGGAAATAAAAACATAAAATAAAAACATTCATCTTCCCTTTACTTAGAAAGTAAACTCAATTTCTGTCAGAAGCACACACATTTGTTTGCTCTGCTTTCTACTTCTCTTTTGATGTAAATAAACTAACCCACCTCTAAGGCCACAACAGACAGCTCAGACAGAAAAATTACTAAACTTCTGTATCAATCAAATAACTTCTGCAGGCCCTATATGTAGGTTTCATTGGCTGAAGACTATATAATCAGCTTTGCTCTCCTAGGTCCCTGTCTTCCAGTGCACAACAATTGTTCCAGTGCACAATAATTGCTCCAGTGCCATCTGCATATTGTTTTAGGCCCATTTCACAACTTAGAAACAGCAGTGCAGACTTCCTGCACCAGAAAAATTAAGATTTTTAGCCAAGCCATCCAAGCTTTATAGCCTAAAACCTGATTCAAGAGTAAAAGTTGCACATTCATTTAAATCCTCTCCCTTCTCTGCCCTTTTTTGACAAATGTAGGTCACGAAAACACGTGTATTTATTTTAGTGCCTGAGTTAAGTGTTTTTTCCCTTTTGTAAACGCTCCATTTAGCATGACGTATTGTTTGAACGAGCTGTCACTCATCTCGCAGCGTTTCCGTGCACACAGACGAGGCAGGAGAGTGAAGTCACGTACGGATGCCCTCGCTCCTTGTGGAACCCGACGTTCCCCGTTTCCCACTTGCGCAGCCATTCCTCCTCGCTCACCACTCTGTCCTTCTGCGAACCCACGTCAGAGCCTCCCGGGACCCCCGAGGCATCTGCTGCGCGCTGCATCGTCCCCAGGGAGCGACAGGAGCTGCGGGGGGAAAAAAAAACACAAAAAAACGAGTAGAGCGAGATCACCCTCACTCACCCAACCAACAGTTTGCAACTGGCTCTTCCTGCCTCCCTCCCACGGCAGCGTAGAGCAGTGGAAGGGGCTCAGAGGGAAGGGGGGAGAGGGCCCGGGGTGGGTCCCCAGGGAGCGACAGGAGCTGCGGGGGGGGAAAAAAAAAACACAAAAAAACGAGTAGAGCGAGATCACCCTCACTCACCCAACCAACAGTTTGCAACTGGCTCTTCCTGCCTCCCTCCCACGGCAGCGTAGAGCAGTGGAAGGGGCTCAGAGGGAAGGGGGGAGAGGGCCCGGGGTGCCCCAGCGGTGCCCCCACCGGGTACCCCCAGCGATACCCCCAGCGATACC